CTTAAAATGATTAACAAGTGAAATAACTAAGCCAAAAATGATTAACAAGCAAAATAAACCGAAAATGATCATCCTTTACCAAATGAGAAAAAAAATTATGTTAATAGCTAGTTAAGAGTAATTTTCTCAAATTTTTTTTTATAGATATGTTAAATATAATTAAAAATTTTGCAAATAAAGTGAAAGTTATGGTTTGGCTAGAAAAGCCCGGCGAGCGAAGCGAGCCAAATGAAATTGCATCATCATAATAAATCACATGAATATTTAATACACAATCACATGATCTACCAGTAATTTTTCCACCAGTTAAAATTTAGAAATTCTCTTTAAATCTTAAAAACTATTTATCATAATTATGATACTGTATGGTAGTATAAACCAACTTAATTAAAAAAAAAGTCAGAATTATTACAGTTCTAATTATACTATGACTATAGCTCCCTGCCATGTTTAATGTTAACTTGTGTAAGTAAAAAAAATAAATAAATAAAATGTGAGGTAAGTTTGACTCTTAGTGTAAGTAAAAAATAATAAAAACGTGAAAAAAATTAAAAGAAAAATTTTATACATTATTTTAACTATTAAAAAAACTACGTCAATTTTAAAAATTCACTATTTTATACTATTGAAAATTACTCTAAATTTTTCACACTCGTATATCGTCGCGAGTGGTGTAGATTTGCGTAGTTTTTCACACATGTAATATTTTGTAGATCTACGCTTATTTTATTCTCCTGATGTTGCACTTAGCAATGAATTAACGACTACAATTTATCAAGTATATTTAGAGTATCGATAATAGTGAGGTATACTAATCTAGCGCGTGTAAAAAAATTTTTCCTAAAAAGTTAAATTATCTTCTAGACAGTAATACTAGCATCAGGAAATAAATGAGGAAATATAAGCAAAGTTTTATGAATTTAGAAAAAGTTAAAAGTCGTCCTATTCTGCTCCTAATGAAGGAATCACTTTTTGATCGGCATTTAGTAAAATCTATAGATTACTAAGTAAAATTTATATTTATTTTTTGTTATGATTACTGCTATATCTGCATCAAGTTTAGTTATTCAAACTAAAAGGGAAGAAATCAAATTATTTAATCAGAATAAACATATAAGGAATATATAATATATATAATATATTAAATTTACTCAACTAAAATGTCCCAAAATTCTCTCGTTCAATCCTAAAAATACCCAAACACTTTTAGTTTCTTCGTATCTAATACATTTTTTACTCACAGGACTGGAACATTAATTCGCGATAAGCTATAATAATTGCAAGATTATTTTCTGCTTCATAAACATCCTTAACTTATTTATATGGCCATGAAATTCCAAGTCAGGAACTGATTTGCTTTTGGAAGATTTGAAGCAACTGAAGAGGGAATACGATTTAAAAATATTGTACTCCTTTACTGTTTAAAGTTATATGAAATCCTTGTCATCGGTCTTTTTAAAACAAAACAGTCAGAGTTAGTTACAATTCACATGGTACACTGTATTTTAGGTTTCCAAAATCAATATTGTGTTGTACCTTGAGGACCAAATTCTCGTTCAAAATTTTTTACGTTGAATTCTTTTCTATCTGTTTTTTATCAAAGTATGATAAAGGGAAGCCCTCTTAGACCTGCAATGATAGTAATTATAGTTGGAATTTTTGTTACATTTTAAAATGTTTTATAACTGAAATATCTTGACAAGTTGATGAAGGAAACAAAAACGATATTATGTACCTATTTATATAAAATTGACCGAACTCATAATTCATATAATTCGAGATTTTATTAGTATATTAAGGTTCATTTTTTTATTACCATTTATAAGTTTCTTGATCGAATATTTTGAGAAAATGATTAATTTTATTTACCAATTTAGGGTAAGAAAATCATTCTAAATATAAAAGAAGATTCTTGGATATCATATATATATATTGTATGTGGTTTCTGAATACCGGTGGAAATCGGATCTTGGCCAGCATTACGAAATCCTAGTCCGGCACTATGCTTTAATTCTGGCCAACATCTCGCATCCACATATGTGGATTCGTAATCCATATAGATTCCGAATTCATATATGTAATGTTGATTTCAGATCTCATATCAAATCATGTGGAAATAGAATATTTTGTCTTCACATACAGGTTGATTAAACTTTGTGGAAATGCAATATTTCAAAGATTTCTTTGGC